GTGTTGGAGCATCATCCAGTACCCTTTCTATGCACTCGCCTCACCTCAACTATGTCTTTCAACGAGACAACGCCTCCATTCATGTGAGCCGTGCAACGGATGAGTGGCTGCAATGCCAATAAATAAGCGTCCGCCATGGCCAGCCTGCAGTCCCGGTCTCAATCCGATGGAACATATCTGGAGCATAATAGTCAAACAGATTTATGCGAATAACCGTCAGTTCCAGAGCACAGAAGAGCTGAAGTGGACGATCATCGAAACATGGAGAGCAGTCGATGAGGAACATCTTCGAAACCTAGTCTCTAGTATGCCACGCAGACTCTTTGATGTTGCTCTTGAACAAAGAGGAGCTATAGATTATTAAGTGTTGTGCATATGCCACCACCGCTAATAAATCATTTACTTCCTCAGGGTAATCTTATAATTATGAAACGGTGCAAAAGCCGACAATATCTTTAAAAAATTCTTAAAAAGTTTGAGGAATCGAAAAAATCGAGGGTGACCTTATAATTATGAAACGCACTGTATATTGACCATCACAGCAGAACTCGCTGACCGGCTAAAATCCTTCAGTGTTAGAGAACTCTCAGTGAAGGAGATCCGTAGAGAAACAGGAGTGTGTTGGTATATGTATCGTGAAATGTTTTCTTCTTTTTTGACTTGTTCTGCCTCCATTGAAGAATAGGGTGGCTCTAGCTGATTTCAATTTCAAGTTCGAGTAATTCAGCTGGTGAGATGGATATTTTTGAAAAAAAAATGATAGTACGCCTTCCTTTAATGCCAGAGATACGAGAGACAGCAAAGATGTAAAGAAGTGCCATGAAACTCTGAATGACAGTGAAGTGCATGTAGCATATTGCAGTGACAAAAAGGGACTCTATCCGATCATACGGGATACGAAAAAACGATGCACCAAAACGTCTGGATCTAGATAATTTGATAGTGTAGACGATTTCCCTCTAATACCGCACGAAGTTTGTAATGACGGTGCCGCCGTACCGATCATAAACTGGAAAGAGGTGGATGCTTGCGAAACTGGTCGTAGTTTTGCCAAGATTGACATATAGAGTATAGACCCGAACGTTGGTAATGTGAGGCTGAAGCGAATAGAATGTGTAATTTCCCAGGGGCCAATGAATGCTCGAGTTTTACTAATGAGTTTTTTTGTCCGACCAAATTTGCACGTGAAACCCCGTCGTCACATACGCGCCGTTCACTTTCAGCGCAACTGCTTTCCACTCACTTTGAAACTTCTTTTTCGTCACTGCACTCCATTAGGCAGCTTCTCACTACACATGACTTAACCATCTTCAACCAGTTCCAAAATGAAGCAACCATGAGGAAAAAGAGGATGGAAGGAGGTTATTGAGGGGAAGAGCTGTCCTACAGTTTCTGCCTTTGATTTTAAACGGTTTCTCTAAATGTAGATCGCGTACATAAATGAGCTCTTCTGCACCTATTTTGTCATATTTTCAAGAACAGGTCGAAGCTGATATTTCATCAGTTAGTACTTTATGGGAGCTAGAAAGATTCAGCAATACCAGTTCTTTGCACTATGAGTGAAGCCAGGCGTGTGGTGAAAGCATAGCGCCAGAGCTCGTGTTGTGTTTGGACAGACTTTTGCGATAAAGAGTGTAAATTCTTGGCCAACTCCGACCTACACAGCAGAAGCACAAGCCAGCTGGAAAACGGGACATCGCTCTACCAAATCCAAACATGAGGGTGCCAAATTCGAGTGGTGCCTCGAGATTTCATCTCCGGACTCGAGAGACAAGATAACTTTCTCACATTGTGCGGAAACGCAGTTGGAGGCTAGGCCTTTTATGAACATGAGCGTGGCGAATCGCGACGGTTTAAAAGACGAACGAGTTGGTTTATGACAAAAAAGCATCCATCGAGCATCGTCATCATCAGACAGGAAGGACTGATGAAGCTGCGGATGCGGCGACATACTATACCTACGATGACTCGGAGAGCCTCTCGAAGGCGTACGGAAGGTGACACGTTGTTGTGAGTGCGATCGAGAACTGTGAGGAGAATGATGGTGTGAAGTCGACTCATGTCCCTCTCGCGAATAGGAACGGGATCTCTGATGGACTGCGACTCGTCGACGATCTTGAAATGGACTGCGGGAGGAATAATGACGAGGTGAGCGAGGACGATGGTAGCTACTGCTACTACGCCTGCTCCCGCTTGGCGAACGGTGAGACTGCGAGCTTTGGTCACAGAGGAGATCGTGATTATCCCTTCTGCTGCACGACAAGGAGGATAGCTGTAAGATGATGACCTATGACCAGCACGTGAGCACTTCCAACAGAGGTTGGATGCGCGTACGAGGGCTCTACCGATAGCTACCGGAGCTTGTAACATACATCGAGTAGACCGATGACGTTCAGATTCGCAAAAGCAACACCGAGATGGACTACGCGATCGTCGTGGGAACGATGGAGAACGTAACGAACTACGCTGATGACTCGAGGAACTGACAGTTCGGTCATCTCTAAGTGTGGTAGAATCTTCGAACATCTCCTTGGACGCGATAATGTTGTCAAGCTGCTTCATTATCTGATCGAGATCGAAATCCTATTGGCTTCAGAATCCGAGATTGCAGATTCTGCTGGATTTCTGAAACTGGAACTTTACTTTTGACTAAGTCAGTTATAGGTCACTTTGAACGGAAGTCCTCGTACCTGCGTAGACCATGGAGAATGCCTGAAAGGCGGAACCAAGTGTTTTAAAGATCCGATCCGATGCTGTGAGCTATCGGAAGCTGTTGAAGCTGTCTATGAAGGGTGGCACGCGCTTTGTGAGAGCGATCGTACCTCCTCTTCAGAGCGTTAACCAGCTCCGTATAGTTACACATATCCGGATCGAAGTCCTGGAGAACTGTCTTAGCCTCGTCTTCAAGTAGGCCTTGTAAATAAAAAGTTCATAAACCGGTGCTATGTTGGAATCGATATGTACTGCTAGCTCGAATGTACGCCAAAACCTATGGGACTGCGTGATGTCCCCTAAAAATGATTCGACCTTGAGTTTATCCAGCTGTACGGTTGGACACGCTGACGTCGAACCGCTGTGAGATGGATTTGAGAGCGACACCGCATGCAAAAATAGGCTAGATACGTCATGCGGACGCTGCGGTAACACATAAGAATTGGTCTGCGTGCTTGCGCTAGATGTTGAGGCTGAGTGCTCTCGTCGATGTTCTTGACTGCGTACGTTTTGAGTTACCCCCTGATGAAACTGGAGGATGGCCATCGTAGATGAGCGCTTTAAATTCATCCATGCGCGTTCCACGTTCTCTAGCCTGATACAAGGAGTAATGGTTACCTCCAGGAAGGGATGCCTAACTACCACTCCCCCCACCTCCGGGGAGAACCGCATCCCAACGCATACACGCTGTTCTCAAGCGTTGTTGGAGCTGTGTAGGTTCCATTTGCACCGGGACTCACACATTGCGCGCAAGCAACAGCCATCTACATGCAGCGACTTCTGATGCATCCTCGTTCCGTCGTTTATTTTACTTCTTTTACGGGACCTTATCTTTCTCTGAACACGCCGATACCCCGTTTTCTCCCCTACTTTCGCTCCATTCTGGATTATCACTTTCATTATTCGCCTGGAACTCCAAAATTACGGTGAACTGTTTCTCAAAAAACTGATACTGAAAAGGAGATTGGATGGTTGGACGGCTTTTCACATCATACTATCTCAATGCAATGTTACCAGTTTGGCTCCGCACGCTCACGCGTTCGTCGCAACAATAAACACGTCAAACAGAGGTGAACTTTCCGATCTTCATTCCACCCCTCGAAATTCTGGCTATAGGCTGTGGTTGGTTGTGAATTCATGCGAAAACTCTTGGAACGTTTGACCCATTGCGAATAATTTTTTTGTTTTCGTTGAGGTATCCCTAGGACTTACCCATATTTTTCCGGTGTCTGGGCTCTGAAGCAAAATTATGAACTTGCTTAAGGTTTCAAACATCCCAAGCTTTACCGGCCTCTTTGGACAACACCGAGTTTCGGGACAACTAGACAGCCAGGAGGAATTTTTTCCCTTTATTAAATGATGACGATGATCTCATAGATGGCGGGTAGTGATGATGACTTCACATGAACTGCGAAGTTTTAATCTCAGCTCCGCTCACCTCGGTACAGCCCCTCCACCGCGAAAATTTTGCCGCCCTTGTTTTAAGTGCTCTAGACCATCTTTCCTGTTCTAGAAAATTTTCATAGTGTTATGAATCTTTGATCTTAGCACCGCCCACTCTGGTGCAAACTGCAACTGCAACTGCAACTACTACAGAATTTTGACCGCATCTATTCTTCTATGGCATCCAACCGCGTTTCTTAGCATATTTAGGAATTTTTGATCTTAGTCATCGCTCCTTTATGCAATCCCTGCTAATTTCAGTGGATTGGGCGCATTCCTTCCTTTACCTCCACACGCTCTTTTCCCACGTTCAATAACCTTTTTGAACGGAGTTATGATTTTTGATCTTAGCCCACCCCATTGCGATTTCCGCCCACTTCAGGGTTCGACCACATTTCTTCTATAGCATGAAAACTCTTCTTTCCCATATAGAACGTTTCTGAGGAGAGTTGTGAATTATAACAAAAAGGACCTAACATTCGAATTCACGCCCTACAGATTGTGTGCGGGGCTTCGACATGTTTTCGTTTGGACACCACGCATAAGGCCTTGCTTACTCAGTTTTTTTCCTTCGCGCTTCCGTTGAGTCGAGTTATGACTTTATGTAGAAAGCACTACTCTCCAGAACGCTTTGCCCATCTGCGAGTCTCTTTCATTTCTTTGTTAACCCATCCCTCACCAACTAAATGCAGTGGTTTGATGTTTGAGTGAATAGTTGAGCATATTTTTCTGCCCCCTAATGATGTTGGAGCCACCAATGGCATCAAAATAAGCATACTATCTTTTATTTCATGCCACTCCAGTACTATTGAAAGTATGACATCTAGTGTGTGAAGCACTTTTATTGCACGGTTTCAGTTTTGATGGCTTTCTGTGTTTCTGTGTATTCTTCCTCTAATAGGCTTTTTTTAGTGGCGCACCTTTGCGCATAATAAATAAATAAATACGAGTACCGAGCAGTGCAGACTTTGTAATTTCCGTATAGGACACTAAGGGTCAAATCACGATGTAGGAATTCTCATGTTGTAATTGATGATCAAACGAGTTTCTGCACTTTATGATAACCTTGCGCCTACTGAGACATCGAAATCGAAAACTCACAAATAATAATAGAAATCAATGGCATCAAAAAACAATAAGAGTAGAAGCCAGATTCTAAACAGGAATAATTGTAGAACTCAAGAGTATGGGAGAAGCGCATACTCGAAACTAAGCTAAATGAAGCAGAGACTCAGCAAGATTCTCGAGGTTAACTTGAACCCAATCTTACAGTTGTATTTAAGTAATGCAACTCGTACGATACATCCACTGGTCGTGTCCGCGTATTCGTACAGAGACAGTAGTGCATTTACTATTTTTAGCGCACAACAAAAAATTACATATCAGTGAGCACTAAACACTTCTGTTTGCTTCCATTTGAGCACCCAAACTCTCATCCATTCACTTCCGAGCTCCAGCAACAATTTTTTAAAGCTGTCATTCAACTCATATGATGTTCATTCCTCTAAATGACTCATTTGTTTGTACTTCACAAGCTTTATGCTTCGAATCTCGAACAGAGCGTTTATTCGTTTTAACGCCAATTTTATTCAATCGCATGTTTCCAGTTTCCTTCAACTTTATACCACATGAAGGACTCTGGAAAAGTAATAAAAGAAAGACAAGACATTTATTAACAACTATGTACATGAAGATTCCCGTGGAAATTGTCATCATTTTCGATCAGGAAATCGTTATCACCGTCGTACCCTATTTTCGCCTCGAGTTTTTGGGTAAGTTCTTCGCATTAGGCTCGATCTCCGCCGACTGATCCCTCGCCGAACACTTCGTCTTCGGCTGGTTGTAGTGGCGCTGAGTAATGCAGGCATTTCGTTGTGCGGCACCATCGAGGCATTCGGTGATGTAGTCGTGGCCGTAAAGAGAGGTGTGTGCGCTCCGAGCGGCGTCCATGTTGTTCTTCTCTGTACCACAAGCTGCGTAGCCTGTTCCGGCCTTGGTCGCATAACCCAATGGCTTGGAAATGACGAGAACGCAGCCCCAGAATTTATCGGCGGAAACGTCCGCGTCCCTTCTGCAGTCTGTGACAGTCTCCTTTGCTCTGGAGAAAGTGACGCAGGTGACCGCCTCTCTTGTGCTAGCTCAGTAGCCGTTCTTATCCTCCCTTCATGTAGTAACGTCTGCGACGGTATCTGCACTGCTTCTGATTGAGTAGGTACTGGCTGAGCCATGAAAAGTATTCGTGTTCTCGGATGGCTCACTGACACCGGTCTTTGTTGGGCAATCTTAGGAAGTGTCCGTGAAAAGGGTGTTTGTTGTTCACGTTGTGCTGCCTGCGGTGACCTGGATTGTGTTCTCTGAGCTGCATTTGGTTGAGACCGTAACGGAAAATGTAACTCGTTGGCTGTCAACAGATTTAGATCGCCAATACGGGCATCTATGGCTCTCGTCTCATCCTCGTAGTCGAGCACTACTTCGTTGTTCGATGGGCTATTTCCTTGATTATGCTGTTGCTGTCGGACTTCGTACTTGCCAATGATTAGTCCGTAGAGATATTCGGATAGTTCTTTCAAGAAATCCGGCGACATACTTCCTGCTAGAATCGAGCCTTCATTGGACATTACATCATTGTCTTCGGGGCTTCGATTCAGCCTGCCATTCTGAAAAATTAAATAAACAGTACTTAGGTCAATCAGCATTCTCCATTACATAGCAATGAATTTGAATGATTTTTCTATAGCTCAGAAGTCAAAAAAGAGCGAGTATTTTAGTCCAAGCCAGTCAGGTACGAAGAAGAAGTACTGATCAACAAGAATGATAGTAAAAAACAAATTCAGTAGCCCATTGGCATATGAATAGAAAGAACAAAGGATGAAGACTTTGATTGCTAATCAATACTATCTGATCCCGTCTGAAGTATGCGCTCACGCATTCGACTTCCATTCAGAATAGTAGTGGCGTATTAAATGCGTATGTGGCCTATCCAATGAGTTGCCGTGGGAGGCCAATTTACAATGTACGGAAGTAAATTTCTAGGATGTATACATTTCCGACTACCCTACAATGGTGACTTTGATTCGATTTGTAGGTGATGTTATGTGTGAACCCTTATAGTAAGTACATTTGCCTGTAAAACCTAAACTAAAGGCGCAATCTACGGTAATTTTGGGTGATCCACTTTATGACGAAAAATGGAAGATAAGATGGAAAATAGTTAAGAAAGCGAAGGAACTGCGTGAATCAGTGTTCCCGAAGTGAAAAAGGTTTTGAGGAATCGTTAAGAAGAAAGATGCACGAGAATGAGACCAGAAGAATGAAGAAGAGTGGGGCGTTTGGACGAGCTACGCAGTGCATCATTGCGTACGTGTGGGTCCCGGTGCTAATAGTTGACTACGGTAAGCAAAAATTCATTCACTTATGAGCACAAGTAAACAAAAACCCCTAGTAACAGCAAAAATAGCCTGCCTTTTTTAGCCTTTTAAGTGAGAAAATCAGAAAAAGTATCGCAACAGCTCAAAGAATAATGGAGAAGAAAAGAATAGGAGAAGAACATCGCCTCATTACTCAGCGATCAGCTGGTTGTGTGTGGGTGCGAACGAATAATTGCGATCTGCATCGCCTAGACACTCGTCTGACGTGGCATGAGGGGCGGGAAGGCCGCACGAGGCAGGAACAAGGCTTCCACCTTGCACTAACCGTCGAGTTTTTTGGCGTGGGAGGGTCCTTTCTATTGCCCTTGGGGGCTGCTGAGTATTCCTAGGGGAAGAATTCAGTAACCATTTTTATCGTGAACTATGCCTTTGAATTTCGCGCTCTGCTCATCGTTCCGCAAAGACATTGTATTTGGAGTGTTATGTTGACTGATTCTCCTGGTTATCCATCAGATCTTCATTACAAACAGGCAAGGTCTACCGCCTCCCAAGATCAGGAAGAACACCTTTGTAATGACGAATCAACCCGCGATCACCATCCAAATCGTGCCGACCGAATCCGAAGCGCAATATGCGATAGAGAGCTCTAGAGCTGAAATTGTCGTAGTACAGCGTTTAAACCACCTTTCGAAAAGCGGCTGCAACCCTCTTGGAAGAACGAGCTAGCGTGTCCGAAAAATGTGTCTCTCCACTCGAACATGCTGTGGTGAAATCACAGTGTTTCTTATGAAAAACTAGTCTTTATTGAGATCGCTCTCAAAAAGCAATGTCATCGCGTGTGTCCAAAGACATCAAAAGAAATGAAAGCGAAGGAAGAGCTATTAATTGAATTGCTAAGATTGAAGTTTAGTTGGATATGTGGGGCATTAGTGAGACTTCACTGGCGTTCGTCATAGCAGGTGCCGGAATTAACAAGGAGTACTACATTGGGACCATTTTGGAATGAGCTATAATCCTCTGCAAACTCTCAATTTGGAAGGAATTTGTTAGACGTAGCAGCAAGACCGCGGAAGTTTCAGTGGAGGATCTCTGGCCGGCCTGTGACGAGGCTACGCTGCGCGAACCCAGTTAGCGGGCAATAGGAGTAAATTGCTGACCAAGAGTAGACGGCACTCACCCAGAGACGCGGACGATTCAAAGAATGGACTACCGTTTCTGCTGTACTAGGTCTTTTCATACCTCCTTCATCTTCGCTGACGTATCGATGCACACGTGAGTGGGAAGTTTGCGGGTGGGGTTTGTAAACTGAGCTTCGACTCAGCCAAAACTTGCATTCGAGTGATTAGGAAGTATTCCGGGATGCAATTTGAGGTGAGCCCCCTCTTTCACTCTGGGATAGCCTGACTAAATACCTGGAGCCTACTTCGTTTTCACGTCAGAGCCTAGCAAGCTACTCATGAGTGCTATATTTAAAGGACAATAGTGTTAATGAACCTCATTTTCCTGAACCTGAGGTAGTCTCCAGCACGGTGGTGCCGCAAATGAGGGAGGGAAGAACACTTGGGAGAAACCACTTGAATCACAGGGAGGAAACAGTGGCTCAAAGGGGGACTAGGATTGTGATCTGTACTTTGAATGCACGTACGCTTGCATTCAGAGCGTGCATCGAAGATCTGAAAATGAAACTAGAAGACCAAGTACCACGTCATCGGACTGAGTGAGAGGAGAAGACATGGTCCGCTGCATGCCTTTTTTGAGGCTAGAGAAAAATTGTTCCCCGGAACGTGCGACAGCAGAGACGCCGGTATTGTACGTGTCCTTGTCAAGACGAACTTGACAAGGGTACCTCAATGCCGCATGAAGGTGAATTGAACGAATCGACGCATAAAAGTTAGTTAGTTCGAGATCTTAACACCCGAAGCGAAAGTTCCTGGCCAAGATGATGTGGCTTCGCCCCAGCCCTAACAACGTCTGCACAAGAGCAACGAGCCATAAAAAGGAAGAGCTAGAAGCGTTCTTGGAGAGGACCAACCTTTCTTCAAAGTCGTCGTCGGCGATTCCAACATAAGAACGGGATTCAACGGGACGAACGAGGTCCTTACTGGCGCGTTTGAGGACCCGCTTGGCTGATCTCTTCTTTAGGTTTTCATTCTATATACTATGGGTCATTTAGAGAAGAATACTTGTGGTACTCATCTTCCCTACTGAGCGTGACTGAAGGACGCTATCCATCATGAATGACAGAAAGTCAACGTCGAGTATCTCGATGCGGTAATCAATCAAATTTCGAGAGACTGCGGCGTTGAGAAAAGTTGTATTTACGAAAAAAGCAAAATCTTCCGATTGAAGCAGAATGGCAAAATCTTTTAATAACTTATTGTAAGCCCCTATCAAACACACAGTGTTTGTCTCTTCCGATACTGGTCAACAAATTTTTTTGATTTTTTGATGTCGTCGTAGAAGAAGATCGTGGTCCGGTTCATGTCACAAGAACACGCATATATAAAGTTGAATCTCGTAGAGAAACCCTTTCTACCAATCGAAGTAAGCACTCTAAGCGTCCATGTGTTTCAACAAGATATATACAGTAGCGCTCAAAAGTATTCGGCCAGACTCTTTCACGCTTTCCGTTCATAACTTTTCTCTTACTGAAGCAAATGGCGCAAAATTTCGATATGTTGAACTGAAGCATATTTTACAGCCCCGTTTGACGGCAACGCAGCAACATTCACATAAGCGGAAGCAGGGTGTTTTTTTTTTCGCGGTAGCAAATTCCCTTCAGTAAAGTTGGTGACGTCTGTAGTTTTTCGTACCTTATGCGCGTCATTCTTCTCCCCTGTGTTCGGCATTAGCGCTCGCACACTGAAGGCGAAAAGGAAAGATATCTAAGAGGGACCAAGGCCTGTATTTCCAGTTGATTTTGAGGTCAAGCCCTTTGGGATATCTGGAAGACGATCGATTGCAGATTGATAGCGGTGAATATTCACAATACACTCATACTACACATATTGAAATTCCGCATGATTAGATGGAGTAGGAAAGAACTTATGACTGTAAATTACAAATGAAGAAGCGTTTCGCCGATTACTTTCGAGCGCTACTGTACATTACATTGTTGGCTTACTCCCAATCTAGAGTCTGAGCTTTTGAAGTTTGTGGACTTCTGGAAATCGTCTTAAGGCAGCCGACGCCTTGAGCAGTTGTCCATGTGTATGTCCGGAAAGTGGAAGTCGTTTCTCGGAACGCTTGGTAAAAAAATGGCGTGTGAAGCAGAGTCACACAGCATTCCTTGTTCAACTTTAGAGACGTCACTTCTAAAATCTATCGCTGAGCATGTCATCCATGAGTATCAGATCCTTGATCTTTACTATGTACATCAAACCAAGAATTTGAGTTTTCGGTGCATTTCTTCTTATTCCTTGCATTACTGCTCTGATGATCCGTCGGAGTGCCACTAACCAGGAAAGGGTTTTAACTTCCCATGGAACTTTGAATGGAGACCTAGGTATATCGATAGGGCTTTGAAAGTTATTAAGAAGTATGGAAATCAAAACTGCAAAATGAGTCTACCAACAAAGTTGTGAGTGTTCAAAATTTGCATGCTTAAGTATGGAGACATAGTGCCAGTTGATAAGCCCAGCTGCCTTCAGAGGCTACAACGGTCCCCGTGGCGTAGTGGCAGTGCTCT